TTTATAATAACTTATCACAGCCATATCTTGGGTTGAGTCCCCCCCGCCCTCTTCTCGATCCCCAGGTTCCACCTGGAGGCTGGCATCCCTTGTAAAAACATTAAAGCAACCCCTATTTTGACTTCGTACCAAAGGAATTCAGGTAGGTAGCTTGAGAATCACCCTGAGAAAGACGTTACATGAAGTCGAACATGCTGTCCTTGGGACACTGGAAGACCAGCAACACCCCAGGGCTCGCCATGCCCCTGGCTATTCTTCCTTCCCAAATGAATTTCTTTAGTTTAAAAGTTTCTCTTTCTCTGTTATTTATCCAAGTGAGCCCAATTGCCCCACTGGGACCTACCACTGCCAGCACTAATGTTAAAGAAATCATTGAAGTGGCTAACAATGCCGTTTGAGGTAGCTGAGTTAGCAACCCGCTGTTCTTTATGAACAGTCTTCCCAACAGAGGCCTGATGAAACCACCACTTCAGAGGACAAAGGCTGACTTCTCCCTGCTAAACACTGAGAAGAAAAATACAGGACCTCCCCTGGACACATGCATCAGAAGAACTATACTCCAATGAAGGTAAACTCCTTTCTTCCCCACAACAATGGATTTGGGTTAGTTTGGATCTCTTCCCCCCTCCTCCCTTATTGAAGCCTATTGACTTCAGTGGGACTTACTTCAGTACTCAATTTTTTTACCTATTGCAATGAAGTTGGTACAAGAAAACTTCCCCATAGACTATTCATCAGATCTGATAATCTCCATTCATAGGACACAGGAAATTAAATCAGATAATCCTCACTGAAAAAATACCCTCAAAAACTGGCTGATATGCTTTTTAACAGCAGAGATACGGGTTTAAAACTCAAAATCCTCATGCTAAAAGGATCATAATGTGTCTTTTCTCTGGTTATGATCCTCACAACAAACCGGTAAGACATTTTCACTAATAACTACTCTAAGGACAGCCAGTGAACTTCAGGGCTGGGTATGATTTGCACTCAGGTCTCCCTGATATAAATATCCAACATTATAGTCCCTAGACTAGCCCTGCCCAACACAAATTGTTGCATGTGAATACAGGTAATACCTGTTCATTCTCATGAATGGAGATGAATGGTTGTCCACAATTATAAATATCTATGGCGCTTTATATGGTATTTTTCCATGTGGGCTTTTTTCCGTGTGGGCTTTTTTCCATGTGGACTTTTATGTATATGGGCATTTTTCCACATGGGCTTTTTTCCATGTGGGCTTTTTTCCTGTGAGCATTTATGACCGTTGGTTTTTGTTCTGTGGGCTTTTTTCCTGTGGGGGTTTTTCCTGTGGGCTTTTTTCTGGTCATCTAATACTTATACTGTTCAGACTAACCAAAAGCTATCTGGTCCCAGTTCCGCTTTTTTATCTTGCCAGTTTTTAGTAGAGATCTCAGTATTACATGCTTCAGTGTACCTTGAGAGTCAGTTCAATAGAAAGTCCATTTTATTTATTTTAACACCACATTTTTATAAGCAGGTCCCCAACAATAGATTTAATTCAAGTGCCAGAATACCCTCCTTTTTTACCTGAGACCAGAATTCAAAACAAACAGAATGTACTTCCTTTACAGTATGATTTATCCTGAAGTGTACATTTTCAAGTAGTTTCTTTTGCTATATATTTTAAAGTGTTCCTTAAATGCTGAAAGCTTTTTGCTGTGTGCATTACCTGTATGGATTTTACTGAGAAAGAGATTTTTTAAAAAAATAAAGAAAACGATAAACTGGTGTTCATGTCACCCCCAATACCATTAATTAGACTTGACAACTCATTCTAAAAAATCTGAGCCACATATAAATTATATATGAACTGTCCAATATAGAAATGCCAAATGGGCAAGTTTAAAATGTCTTGTTCCGAAAATTGTGCAACGAACTATGTGAACTATCAAGTGAAATCAAGACATATGAAGAAAACAAATCCACAAGAAAAACCACCAGAGGGTGCGGTCACACATGCCAGATAATGCAGGGGGAAGCGAGGCTATTTGCTCCGTGGTAACTTGACCTGCCACTGTGTGATCAGACACAGTGGCAGGGGAATTGGGTTTTTTTTTACTTTGCTGCGTGTTGCCGGTGCGCTTCAACAAGGGATCACTGACGCAATGGGAGCGTGCTGGAGCGATCACATGGGAAAGTCTGTCTGCGGCCTGTCGCAAACCCATTTGATACTGCACTTTTCCTGGGTTTTTTTTTAACTCTGCTTCTTCGGTGGAGAAAAACGAGTTGCTGATGGGTGCGGGACGCTTGGCAGATTTTCTTGTGTGATCACTCCCTTAAAATCCGCCCGGCATTCGTGCCTATTGCGCGGCTAATTCTCCGGGTGATCAAGGCCAGAGATTATCAAAGCAGTTAAGTTTCATTTTTTAGTGATCATTGCAGATGTGTCAGGCTGTGTAGAATATAAAGGTGAACAGTCAAGGAACATACAAATAGCCAGGGCTTCTTTCCTGAAAGAATGCACTGGAATGGAGTTCCAGAATCTCTTCAACAAAATTCTTTTTCAAAAAGGTTTAAAAGTTCATGAGTTTTCAGTATACAGATTGAAAATGTAATTTCCCTCTTGAGAATTCCGGCACCTCTTTTTCCAAAACAAAAAAGCCCCGCAAAATACACCATCCTAAAACCCCTTTCCCAGGAGTTAATGCCATTGAACAGACTTGAACAGGATTCTAAGTGGGCGAGTTTAGGATTGCACTAAAAGTGTCAGACAAGAGAAAGCAAACTAAGATGTATGAAAAAGTGCAGGCAGATGTTTTGGGGAAAATGGTGGCTGGGCAGAACTGTAAACTGCTGCAACATCTACTGGCTGCGAGAGCCTGCCCAAGGAGGGGATATTGGACAGGCATCAGTTAACCTTTCTGGCATGGGTAATATGCTTAGACCGAGGGAGGCTCTTCTCTATGGCTCCCTCCAAACTTCCTGACAGATGGGTGCACACTCCTAGTAGTTTAACAGGGCAATATGAAGAAGAGCGGCACAAAGTCTTAGAAGGGGGTCAGTAATGTCCTGCAAATGTGCAAGAGCCCTGCAAATGTGCAGTAAATCTATGATTTGCAATGTACGTCAACACCTTGACGGTGCTTTGCAAGGCAATAGGCTCAGAAGGATGCTACTCCGTTTAGGATTGTTCCCTGCGTATATCCACTCCAGACCTCCATAGCCCTCACTTCAACCTGGAGTGGCAGAAGCTGCTTACATACATTCCTTCAAGTTTGTCAGCTGCATTGGATCTCATCTCTTCTTGCTCCTGTCATCGATTTGGTAGACGCCTGGTGGGTGGGGGGTCAAGTGCCATCAAGTCACTTCCAACTTACGGTGACCGTACGAATTGATATTCTCCAAAACATCCTATTGTTAACAGCCTTGCTCAAGTCTTCCATCTGGTAACTGAACATAAATAGGGCTTTCCCTGTGACAACTACCCATTTGCCAAGGATTTCCTTCCATTTTCTTCTCAATGGGCCCAAGTTGGGATGTCTTCTCTCCCTTCCATCTGACATCCCAGAGGTCAGATTCTAGCCCTTCCCTCCTATTGGAGTGCACCTGTGAATACGCTTGCCTGTTTTAATAAAAATGCATCATAAGGAAGTTGCAGCAGTTATTTGTTCTCAAGCAAACTGCGCATTTCGTGGATTAAGAAAGGGGAGATTGTCCTATAGATGTTCAGACCAAAACCTATGTCCCTGTCCACCTGTTGAAAATGCTGTTTACTCTAATGCTGAAATAAACTATAGAAAACATAAATGCAGAGTATAGCATTATTATACATCACGAGCAAGTGCTGAAGGCAAGAGGATTAACTGTTTTTACTGTGGTTCTGATCAAGGTTTTGGGAATTTTAGCAATTTTTAGTTATAATATTCATTTCTCCCTCATTATAAAGGGGCAAAATCTTAGCAGAGCCAAACAGCAGGAGGGGTTTCACTGAAGTACTGGGAGATGAAGGGAAAGAAGTTAATATATTCTGCATTGCAGACTGTATCTCATGTAGAGGAACTGTGCAGCTCTCTGAAGAGGGTGAGTCAGTGTTGCTGTTTTAATTATCTCCTGATTCTGAAGGTGTCATCTAGAAACAGTGCACTCCTAGCCATGTCTACTCATTAGTAAATCGCACTAACATCAATGGGTGCACTGCTGCCGAAGTGCAACTCCATCATTCTCTTAATAGGTGGCTTTTAATGTCCACCGCTGCAGCTACTGGAGCTGTGATATAATGGGAAAGATTGTCAAGGTGGATGGGGACCACTTATACCTTCTCCTTCTTGCTGTTTCTGTGTGAAAAACCATGATCTCTGCTGACGGAAGATATGATACAGAATGCTGTAGCCAGAGTATTGACTACACTGGGTCCTAGGATCATATCACTTTCGTCTTCTTGTGTCCACTCTGGCTTCCCATTTATTTCCAGTCTCAATTCAATTCAATTCTGGCTTTGACCTTTAAAGCCATATACAGCTTATGGCCACAATACCTTACAACCCACCTTCTCCCATATGGATTGAATCATCAACAGAGGCCCTGTTTCAGGTGCCTCCAGCATTAGAGGCTAGATCGAGGGGAAACCCAAGGAAGGACAATCTTGGTTGTGACATCGAAATTTTGGAACTCCCTCCCCAGGGAGATCTGTCTGTCTCCCTCTGTCATTGTCTTCCTCCAGGGTGTGAAGGCATTTGTGTTTCATTTAGCATATCCCCAGCAACTGTTATTGGCCTCAGTATCTGCCTTTGGTGTTGGCTGTTTATGTGTATGTTTTTATTAATTATTGTATATTAAATGTTATTCGGATTTGCAAATGTGTTAATGTTCTTATGTTCACCACCTTGGAGATCCTAATTGAGTGGAAAGGTGCTATAAACAGGTTTTGAATTATAAAATAAGGGAGTGAATACCAATGCATGATCACAAAATATCATTTTGCCCTTAGTCTCTGTAGATCCAGGACTCGCCTCTCTACCTCTGCTGCTTCACAGATGGATCTTGGGCAAGCCAACTCCAAGCAGAACCACAGTACTGTACAAGAGTTCATCTTGCTGGGATACCAAGAATACCCTGCCCTCCTCTTCACTGTCTTCCTGGCCACGTACACAGCCATCCTCCTGGGGAATGGTCTGATTGTGGTGGTGACAACATTGGACCCTGCCTTACACACTCCCATGTACTTCTTCCTGCGTAGCCTGTCAGGACTAGAGATGTGTTATACCTCAGTCACCCTCCCTAAGATGATGGCTAATCTGGTGTCCGGGGATCATTCCATTTCCCTGCCAGCCTGTGCTTCCCAGTTGTTTTTTCTGATTTTCCTGGGTGGAACTGAGTGCTTTCTGTTGGCAGCCATGGCCTATGACCGCTATCTTGCTATTTGTCTGCCTCTCCACTATATGACAATCATGAACCATAGAGTGCGTATGGGGATGGTGGTAGGTTCATTTGTCATCAGCCTCCCCATGCAGTTGGTACAAATTGGAATTATCTTCTCCTTGCCCTTTTGTGGATCCAATGAGATTGACCATTTCTTCTGTGACATCCCACCACTACTCAGCCTGGCATGTGCTGACCTGCATTCCAATGAGTTGGCTGTGTACATTGAGAGTACCACCTTTGTTATAATTCCTTTTCTCCTCATTTTGGCCTCTTATGTACAAATCGCCAAGGCCATACTGCGAATGCCATCAGCCACAGGGCGCCAGAGGACCTTTTCCACATGCTCATCCCACCTGACTGTAGTCATTCTCTTTTATGGCTCTGCAGCGATTGTGTACCTGCGCCCCAAGACCCCAGAATCAGTGAAGGTTAACAAGTTGCTCTCCCTGCTATATACAGTTATCATTCCCCTTTGCAACCCTCTTATTTACACCCTGAGAAACCGGGAAGTAAAGACAGCTTTTAAAAGACTATTAGGAAGGAAAAGAACTTTAGAAGTGGGTACAAGGATAATGAGCTGAGTTCCACTTTTGAATTTCAAGGCCACCAGTCTGTTTAAAACCTCGTCTTTTCCAAATGCTGCAAGGTCTGAAGATCAGCCAATATAGCTGTCCTCACTAATCCGAATGGCATTGTGTTCTAGTGAACGGGTGGGTTTTATCATCGAGCTCCAACATCATTCACATGCACACATCATTGCAGTTATCGATCTCAAGATGCTGCCTTATACTGAGTCAGACCATTGGTCTGTCTAAGACAGTATTTTCTATTCATGCTCACAGTGGCTCTCTAGGGTCTCAGGCTGAGATTGTACACATCACCTGGTATTGGTTCCTTTTAAATGACGTTGTTGCAGATGTAACCTGGAACCTTCAACACACAAAGAGATTTATTTATTTATTTATTATTTCGATACCCTGTTACTGATGATTGCAGAGGGATAGTTGTGTTATTGTAGAAAAATTAAACAGAAATCCAGTGGCAGCTTGGAGATTAATATTTATTCCTTCATGTTCTGTTGTGAGTCGGAGCTCACTTCTTCAGATGAAGAACTTCCTCTGAAGAAGAAATGACCTCTAACTTAGAGAATGTTGTTAGTCTGTAAAATGCCACTCATCTTCTCTCATCCAGACCCATGGCCACCTGCCAAAACAAGATGACTCTCTGCAACAGGACATTTTTATATCATTCAAGTGTCATTTTCAAAGAAGCTGAAATGATGAACAAAAGACCTTAGGGCATGTTTAATATAACCATAGACATAAACCCTACAACAAGAAGTGGGGAAGAAGAGACGTGCATCTGGATGGTAATGTGGGTTTGAGACCTGGTTATTGTGATTATCCTATGAGATTAAAGTAGCATGCCAATATAGGCCAGAAACTATGACAAAAGGGATAGTGATATTTTAAAAGAATTGTAGCTATATCCTTGGTGGGCCTGGAATTGGCATTGTTCAAGCAGTTGAGAGTTGGTATTGTCAAAGCATCCATCTGAGCTTACAGATTATGAAGAAACAGAAATGTTTTTGTGTGGAATACATAGCTTTAAAAGGGTGCTAGATAGATTCATGGAGGATAAATCTATCAATAGCTACTAACTATGGTGACTGAGAGGAACCTCCACATTCAGAGGCAAGAACCCTCTGAATCCCAGACCCAAGAGATAACATTGGGGAATGCCTCGATCTCTATGCCCTGTTGTTGGTCCTCTAGAGGAACTGGTGGCCACCGTGTGAGACAGGATGCTGGACTAAATGGACTATTGGTCTGATCCAGCAGGGCTCTTCTTATGTTCTTATGTTAGAAAATAAGAACATTACATAAAAGAAGCCATGTTGGATCAGGCCAATGGTCCATCCAATCCAACACTCTGTGTCACACAGTGGCCAAAACCCAGCGCCATCAGGAGATTCACCAGTGGAACCAGAATTACAGAAGCCCTCCCACTGTTGACCCCCAAGCAACAAGAATACAGAGCATCACTGCCCCAGATATAGAGTTCCATCTAGACCTTGTTTCTAATAGCCACTTATGGATCTCTGCTGCATATGTTTATCCAATCCCCTCTCAAAGCTTATGCTTGTAGCCACCACCACTTTCTGCAGCAGTGAATTTCACAAATTAAATACTCTTTGGGTAAACAAGTACTTCCTTTTATCTGTTCTAAGCCTATTGCTCATTAATTTCCTTGAGTGCCCACAAATTGTTGTACTGTGAGAAATAAAGAAAAGTACTTCTTTCTCTTCCTTCTCTAGCCCATGCATAATTTTGTAAACCTCTTTCATGTCACCCCTTGATCTTCATTTCTCCAAGCTAAAGAGCCCTAACCTCTTCAACCTTTTGTTAGCCAAACTGCTTTATCAACAACAGATGGCAAACTAAATTTAATATGGGTTCCTGCCAATGTTTACGGAGGTCTAGTCCACCCCAAGAATGTCCCAGTGAGAGAGACGAGACTGGTGAATTCAAAACAATTTGTCTTTTACTGAAGAATATCAAAATCGCATACACACAAAACAGAATCTCACACACATACAATCAAGTTCCTTTTGGAATACAGAAATAGAAAAATAGTTCCTTTTTACTTAGGAGGTAGGTAGGTATCATTCATACTCATCTGTTCCTGGAGCCTTGTCTGTTTCAATGAAGAATGAGGGGTAAGAAAATAGAACCTAGGGGTATTTCTAAGTCACACTGCCAGAACCAGTCGGCAAGTATGGACCTCCTTGGCTGCACACACCAAGAGATCAAGAATAGACAAAGGGTTGTTGGATAGCAAGCTGGACTTTAGGGGATAAAAGCACACAGAGGATGATGAAGGGTTTACGGCTAGCAAAGACCCATCACGTGGTCCCTGAGTTTTATAGGCAAATCTTTGGGTGCGTGGCAACCTTGCCAAGCTGGAAACCCACCTACATGTAAGTCCGTCCCATGACTACAACCATTGGTGCGTGTAGTAAGGGCGTCTACTTTAGGTGTTTGGCCAATATTTGAAATTCTAAACTCTTAACTCATGGACAAGCCATCTGGTTAGGTGTGAAAGATGGGCGTCAGGATCTTCCTTGATGTGCAGATAGATCTCGGCTTTCCAGGCAATCAAAGCAACATCTGCCAGGAAATGGCAATTCAGATGTAAATCAGATCCGTGTATTGCGTGGCATCAAGTCCTCTAGTAATGGGGGATACTTCAAGAAAGTTGTTGTTTCTGCTAACAATGGCGAAATGTGCTTCTCTTGGCTAGGGGCTGTATGTGTTTGCAAGCTTCATTAACATGAAAATGCAGGCAGGTACCTTCTATGTGAAACCTCTTACAACAGGTGATTCAAGCAGTGTTCCCTAAGTTTAGGGTGTATGTGTATGCACAGTTCATGTGGTGTGTCAGCAGATATAACTCCATAAACAGCAAATATCAGTCTCTTTCTCAACACTTTCTTCACAGGGAAGATATTCCATCCTCTTGAAAATTTTAGTTGCCCTTTTCTACACCTTTTCCAATGCTATAATATCTTCTTTGAGGTGCGGTGACCAGAACTGTACACAGTATTCCAAATGAGGCCACAGGGCTATTTTTGGGCAGGAACGCACAGGAATGGAGTTCCAGTTGGCTTCAGAGTTGGCCACACCTACAGCCAAAACCTCTAAACATGCCGGGGTTCCCTGCCCAATCTTCTCTAGGTGCCCCACAGCTGTGAGGCACCTGGAGAAAATCAGGCAGGGAATACAGTCATGTCTGCCTGCCTTCCCTTCCCTTCCCTTCCCTTCCCTTCTCCAGCCAGCCCGCCATGGCAGGTTGGCTGGGGAGGGGGAGGGGAGGCGGGCAGAAATGCCCCCCTTTTCTCCGGAGCCTCTCCCCTTTTGCGGAGAAACTCAGGAAAGAGGGTGAGATTTAAATGCCTTTCTTTCCCTTCCCCAGATGGGGAAGACAAAGAAAGGCATTCTAAACATGCCTGGGTTCCCTGCCCAACCGTGGCACGCTTGCATCCCTGCCCTTTGTCAGGGGGTGTGGCATATGCAAATGAGTGTTTTGCTATTATTCTAATTATGCTAATGAGTTCCTGCTGGGCCTCACTATAGATTTATACAGGGACATTATGATACTGGCTAATTTAGTTCCAATCCCCTTCAGAGTAATCCCCAGAATAGTATTTGCCTTTTTTATTGCTGTCACACACTGATTCAACATCTTGAGTTATCTACCATAACTCTTGCACATAACCTTCTAACCCACTAACAGAACCTGACTAGAATATACTATCCTTGTAATCTGATTAATTAAAGTTGCTATTTGTAATTATAATGCATCTCTTCTCAAAAAGGATCATTGTACTGTAATACTAAATAAGAAACAGAGTCTTGAACTAAAGAAAATGAGGCAAGTGTGCCACCATATGCCTTATCAAAGTATTAAAATACCTAATCACCCTGAATGTTTGTAAATGAAATGGACCGTACCACAGGTATCTCCAACATTCTTACATGTTTTGCTCCCTTTACTAGTTGATTTGATATTCAGGGCTATTTTGGGGCAGGAACGCACAGAACTCTGAATTCTTAGATGGAATTCTTCCGCAGATTATATTTATCCTGCAGGAAAAAAGAGGGTGATGGGCAACTGTTAGGAAGGGTCGTCACAGCCAATATGCATAAGTATGGCTGAAGTTGGATCAGGTGGCCAGTAAGATCAATGAATGGCAGCCAAAGGGACTCAGACTTTGTTCTGCTGCTTCAGACCAACATGGCTACCCACCTGAATCTTTCTGTATCTACTATTTTGTTCATATATCTTTCACAGGAAAAAGGAAACAGTTTTGATAAGATTTCATGGAGAAAAACTTTCTAGCTGTTTTACTTTATGTGATGTGTCAGTGGAAACCAATCCACTGGGAGGTGATTATCTCCAACATCATTTGCCCAAATTAATGCTTTTCTTTTTCACTTCCCAACGGATTTTCAAAGGCTATGAACTCGGCCAACAATAGCCATGCCTGAGAGACACTATAAAAACCCAATGTAATGATGAAGGCAAAGTAGGGGTAAGCAGAGATCTGTAAATCTTTTGTCTTACATTTATATTTTGTCATTTCCTCTTTACATCTTAGGGTATTTTTCGTCAAGCTTATTCTCTATTTTTCTTGAAAAAATAGAGAATCTATGAATAACTTTACCTATTCTCTTCTATTTTCCAGATTAAGTTAGAGTTACCTAGGTTTTATAGTGAGAAATATTGTACTTTATAGGGGATGTGCATGTGTTAAATGCCATAAAGTCATTTCCAACTTATGGCGACCCTATGAATTAATGACCTCCAGAATGTCCTATTGTTAAGAACCTTGCTCAGCTCTTACAAACAGAAGGGATTGACTTCCTTGATTAAGTCAATTCATCTCATGTTGGGTCTTCCTCTTTTCCTGCTGCCTTCAACTTTTCTTTGTATTGTTGCCTCTTCTATTGACTCTTTTCTCCTAAAATTCTGTATCTGGAGGGAAATTTTGGTGACCATGATGGTGCTGATTGTGGTG